GTGGATAAAATGCCGTGGCTCCAGCCGAGGCTTTGCCGGACGACAGGTCCCGGCAGCGCCTCGGCTGCCAACCCCGCTCCGCCGGCGCGGGGGTTTATTTTACCAAAGGTCTTTGTTGGAAGAAGCGGTGATGAAGTTAACAGCCTGTGAGCCATAATTGGCTCACATTAAATCAAGGAAATGATATGTTTTGTTTTGCCCTTTTTTTTCTCCTTTTTTTTTTTTTTTTTTAAATCATATTAAACTGGCAAAAAAACCCGCACGGAGCCAAGGCAGGAGCAAGGCAGCAGCTCTCAGGAATTTTAGGGGGGAGATTTGTGTCCCGAGCTAAACTACAGAAATTTAGTCCTTGCCATCAAAGGAAAAGCAACTTTGCTTCAAAATGCCCAGCAGAAATGGTCAAGGAAAAGGGGATCCAAAAAAACCCAGGCTGTGGCATCGCAACAGGCACCAATTCAAAGCCTGTCCCAGCAGCTCAAGAATGTCAATTGGAAATTAAAAAAAAAAAAATTTCTTTCAAAAAATTCTTCTTGAAAGTCATTTTATTTACCTTGCCGCCTTTCAACCAACACAGAGCGTCAAAAACCTTTGGAAGTAGTGGATATTTCAGAAATGAACCTTTCCTGGGCTTGTTCTTAAAGTTTGTTTTTAGCCTCTGGGGTTACATCCTGGATGTGAGCTGAGCTGGGTGAGGGCAGAATCGTCCTCCCAAGGTCACAAGTCATGGGTGGGATAATGCCAGTCCCTCAAGCCTGCCCTGCAGACATCCTTGCAGGACTCAGCTGGATTCCCATGGATGCTGCCACAGTCACTGTGGTGCAGTCCTGTGCTCACTCATCCTGGATCAGTACTGGGCACTGAGAGCCATCAGGGCTCATCCCACCAAGCCCACCCTGCCCAGTGCTGGATTTTGGGGAAAATCTCAGCTGTTTCCCAGGGCTGACCCATCCAAAAGCACCCATGCAGCATCACTGCACAGGTAACCCCAACCACAGCATCTAAGCAGGGCAGGACACAGATCTAAGGGGTTGCAAGGACAACCAGGGACCAGCTCTGAGCACTGCTGGCTGCATCCCTCCCTCTCTGAGGAGCCACCACAGCCCTGGGGGAATTCAGGCTCCAGAAGAGCATGGCCCTGTTCTGCCCTGACACTGCTCACACCCAAAAGCTGCCAGAGAAGACACAGCAAGTGACAAAGCCACCAGATGGCATGGGAAGGGCTGGAAACCCACGACCTGCCCCCAGGTCACCTTTTTATCCACTGAGTTTCACTTGTACCCACAGGCACTGGAAGTTGTAGGTCACAAGATTTCACATGACCTAAAAAAAACCCCCACGAGCAGGTAAAAATATCCCACTTCTGGTAAATCCCCTGCCCAGCCAAAGATCATACATGTGTCTTCCAGCCCATCCCAGCTCCCAGGTTAGCCAGGTCGGAAGTGGGACACCAAAACCACTCACTTTAAGCGTGGGGAGATGAGCAACTCTTCCATTTGCATGGCAACCAGGAAATCCCCCCAAATCAACCATTCTCTAACTTACAAACAAAAAAAAAAAAAAAAAATACTCTCAGGGGAAAATTCTAATTTTGTTTGGAAATGTCATTTCCAAACGGCACATGAGAAATCACGCTCTGACCCAGCCTTGCTGACAGGCAGATATTTATCCCCACAAAATTTCCACATAAACCCATCACTTTTGTCGGTAGGTCTGGACACTGGGAGCAGAGTGGGAAGGCAGCAAGAGGGGAGCCAGGAGGCACAGGGAGCAGCAGCCCTGCCCGGCGGGTCAGAGCCACAGCCACTGCGAGCCCCTCGCCCAGATCACTGCAAACAGGGCTCCTCCAGACTCATTCTGAGGCAAGATGCGGCGTTTTCCGATGCACTCATAGCAAGTATCTAATATTTTTTTCAAAACTGGTTGTACCTTTTTTTCCAATACATTAAAGGCGTGCCAGCCTCTGCTCCCAAACCCCGCAGCACTCCATCATTCAGCTCCGCGTCGGAGCGGAGAGGATCCTGTCTGACACACATTTCTCAGTCTATTAGGCAGAGTTATTCCTCTGCTCTGTGTTTTGATACTTACAAAGCCATTACCATCCCTCGCATGCACATCCATCATCGGGCCTTCAAACTCCAGAAGGTCCCAAAAAAACTATTTTCCACTCACCATGCAGCCTGCCAGGCTCTGTTCTTCTACTCTGCGTTCCTTCATCCATCGAAAGACATTTCAGCAAGTTCAGAGTCCAACAAAATAAACAGATGGCAGCCTGAAAGGTGGTGATTTTCTTCTCTGCAGGGAGAGTGGGGCGAGGGTTACAGCCAGGGAAGAGCTGAGTTCTGTCTGCCTGGTTGGAAAAGCTAACCTGGGCTCCAGGTGCCAATGCCCACCAGGAGCTGGGGGTGCAGGCGCTGCTGTGCAAAGCCATGGGGTCTTGGAAAGCTGTGGGGGCAGCAGCCATAGATGCCTCTTGGGCTCAGAGTCCCCCAGTTCCACACGCACCAGCCTCAGGGGTGCATCCAGCACGGTGCCAGCTCCCACCAAGCACACACCGTCCCTCCATGTGCCTCCAGCCACCCCCTGGATGGCTCTGGAAACTCAGCACATGCTGCTTAGCAAAGAGGTGGTTCACCATCGTACCTCTGCACTGCCCCGGTGGCTTCCTATCCCCAAAATCACCCACGTGCACCCACAGAGCAGCACCGTGCTGCAAAACATCAGCTCTGCTCCAGCCTCAGGAGATGTGGGCGATGCAGAGAGAACCATCCCTGCCCCAGCCCAGGGCAAACCAGCCCCGGGGCTGCCACAACCTGATGCAGGCACTGGGTGTTATTGCATCCTGACCCAGCAATCACCAGCTCAGAGACACGGGAAGATTTATGAAAAGATGTGGCCAGATGAGCGATAGAGACGAACAGCCCTGAGGAGTGACTGATTTCTCCCCCACAAGAGGAATAGAAATTAATTTATGAATTGGGTTAGTTAAGTTGCCAAGTGCCTTTGATGCCATTTATTTTTTTGCATATGTTCATGATCTATCTCACAGCTGTCGGGGGGGGAGGAAGGTCCTGGGGAGCCCGAGCAATGCATCACTCCAGACGAGGCAGCCAACAGCTCTCAACAAAACCAGATTACCCTTTAATCGGCCACAGGCTGGTCTGTTCTTTCCCAAAGTGGGCACCTCCTCCCTCCCCAGTTGACCCTCAAACACCTGGAGCCCTGTTACTTGCTGCAGAGGTGGGGAATGGGGCAGAAGGCACTTCCCTGAGCTGATGGTCAAGTACAGCCCACCAGACATAACGGTGACACGGAGTCTTCTTTCACCTTACCCACCATTGTGTGTTTTGGTAGGACCCACAGCAGGTCAGGACAGTCCCCAGGGAGATTTGGAGCAGGGACAGGATGGTGGGTGCTTTATTCCTTAACAAGACTGCACTTTTAGAAAGAAAACACGGAAGGCAGAGTGAGAATGTGGTGCAAGGACCTGTTACACCACACCTGAGGGACCCCCCTTGCCTGAGGGGACACTGAGGGACAGACCTGTCTGGGGGCTCAGCCCTGAGCTGAGATCAGTGCAGGCTCTGGCTCCCCCTGAGCCTCCTGGTGTTACAGGTGCTTGGAGGTTTTTCAAGAAACAAAGTAATTTCCTGCTTGAAGCAGTTGACAAATCTGCACAGAAACTGGATAACCCTCCACATTTCAGGGAGATCCAACTGCTCCAGCTCAGGGCTGCAAAACCATGCAGTGGGAGCAGACCCAGGCTCATGGAGCAAAGTGGATGCTAGAGATGTAACCAATGACATCTGCTGATGGAGGGGGATTCCAGAGTACAGGGACCAGCTCCAGGTCTGTTGTGACATCCTTGCTTAGGCCAACACTGCGTTGGAAATTGTTTGGATGAGCTGGCCTGCCGCCCAGATATCCCCCCCAGTCCATGACCTTTCTTCCTGCGGAGAAATCAGAGCCCCGAGTGCCTGAGTCAGCTGTAAATCCCCAGCATGGATCAGGCAGTAAGGGCAGCACTTGGTTGCAGAAGGGGAACCAGTTTGCACGGAGGGAAGACGTAGCAGGTCCTGACTGACACTGAAACATCAGTGCAGCTCCCACACAGGCTTGGGGGTGCAGGAACCATCCAGGCGGTCCCAAAACCACCAGGGACCAAGGTGCATGATGGAAACAAAAGGTGCACTGCAGTAGTTCAGGGAAATACATTTTTTGCTAATTAAATCCCAGTGGCTTTGGCCAGTAGGTTCAAAGCCAGCAGGGTCCAAACTATCCCCTTTCCTACAGGGTGAGTTTGGACCTTGCTGCCCCCCAGGACCTGCAGATGTCCCAGCACAGTGCTGCCCCCAGAGCCCTGTGGGGTTGGGAGGATCAGGGTGAGGGGGCAAAGGCACCCATGGGCAGCTCTACACCCAATGCAGCAGAGGTCCCACTGTCCCCTTTTCCACCCTCATCAGTGCTCTTCATCACCTGCTCCCTGTACCCACTCCATATTCACCTCCCTCTCCTCTTGTTTCCTCTCTTTCCTCTTCCTCAGCTCTGGTTTACTCTGAAAATCCCTTCCCCAGGGTGGCTCTGGAGACTGACACAGGAGCAATTTACCCTTGTAAAGAGAAGGAGCATTTTACCAGTCTAACAGTTCCTCAAAGGGAGGGACACAGTCTTAGCAAAGGGACATTTCTGCTGGTGAAAACAGTTCTGCAAGGATTGTCCCTGCAAATGCCACTGCAGTGACGGGGTTTGGTGTTGATGCAGTCACAGGGTGAAGGCTTCAGGGCACCATTGTCACCCCGTGGTACCATTGTCACCCCGTGGCCCTTTTCCTGCTGGTTTTCCGGCCCCCCCGAGTTTCCTCTCTGGGGGCAGCCAGGCTCGAGCCCACGAGGCACAGATTTCTCTGATTAGGCAAGGCCAGGCAGCCTCTCCCCTTTCGTTTTCAGCTGCCTCTTCCTCCCCTTCCCCGTGGGCAGCCCCAGCATCCGCCCTGGGCGCAGCAGCACTGGCACCACAACGCACACCAGGCACTGCCATGGATCCGAGTGCTCGGGAGCCCCTCGTGAGGAAAACGAGCTCCTCATACCAGACCTTCCCCGAGAGCAGTGTCAGGAGGCTCGACAAGGAGTACCTGCGGTAAGGGCCGGGCTGGAGCCACAGGGTGGGCTGTAGGTCACGGTTGTGCCCCCCATCCCGAGGGCACTGGGCTGGAGGGAGCTGGGGGCAAGAGCTGTTTCATGGTGCTGCCCCTCCCAAGCTGCCTTGAGATGGGGTCTCATCCTGACCAAGGGTGTGCAGTGCTGGATGAGCCCACTTGGAAGACCGATGGGTTCGTGTGCTTTGGGGCTGCAACCCCCATGGGAGCATGAGGTCCCGCTGGGGGGCACGGGGGGCTTTGAAGGGACCTTCTCCCTGCTCTGCCGGGACGAGCCAGCTGCCAGCTGGGTCTGTGGGGCCACCCAGCTCCAGCTTCTGCTTTTCTGGATTTGTTGAACCCGCTGAGCACTGCCTGGCACAGAGGGAAGGATCAGCGGTGCCCAGAGGAGACAAGGTCCTGCTACTCACCACGCAGCAGGAGCTCAGAGAAACCTCACCAGCCTGGGGCCGAACAGAGGCATTTCCCGGGAAAATCCCTCCACGGTGTCACGAGAGCCTCAACAAAGGCTGGGGGAAGCTGCAGGATAAAATTTAAGTTTCTGCTGGGTGGAATAAGGGCGCTCAACACATCCCTCTCTCTCCACCCCTCCCTCAGGAGCCTCCACAACAAGCGGCTCTACCTGGCCGTGTTCGCCGCTGTCCTGGGGAACTTCAGCTTCGGCTTCGCCCTGGTTTACCCCTCGCCCGTCATCCCTGCCCTGGAGGCTCATCCCAGCCCCGCGCTGAGGCTGGACCAGCACACAGCGCCCTGGTTCGGGGTGAGGAGCGGGGCTGTCCCTGCCGGGGCGCGGGGCAGGGCCGGGGGGTGTGCGGGGGCAGCCCGGTCTCACCCCAGCCCCTCTCGGTGCCCCCGCAGTCGGTGTTCACGCTGGGAGCGGCGGCGGGGGGGCTCAGCACCATGATGCTCAACGACTGCCTGGGCCGCAAGCTCAGCATCATGTTCTCGGCGCTGCCCTCGGCCGTGGGATACGCGCTGATGGCCAGTGCCCAGGGCGTCTGGATGCTGCTGCTGGGCCGGGTGCTGACGGGCTACGCCGGCGGGGTGACCTCCGCCTCCATCCCGGTAACGTGCCGCGGGAGGGAGTTTGCCAGGGAATTGCAGGGCGGGAGATGCCGCGGTGCTGTAGCTGAGGCACCGGCAGAGCTCCAGGGCTGTGGCTCGGAGAACGGGGATGGCGACGGTGCACCAGGTTGGCAGCCCCGGCGTGGCCAGCCCGGGTCGGTGTTGGAATTTCTTGCCTGCAGAAAAGCAAAGGCAGGTCCTAATTCCCTGAGGTTATTTCCTCCCAGACATCGCCCTCGTGTTTCGTGCAGAGCGGAAGGCAAGGATTGAGTAACACCAGGGTACCTCTTTCCAGCAACACAGTCCAAGCACTTCTCCCGTGCCGGGGGGAGGGAGGGAAGTGGCGGTGCCGCTGGACCACTCAGGTCTCCGCCCCAAGAGGGCAATTTTCCAGCAATTTGGGTTTCCCTTGGCCACGGCAAGGTGACAGAGGGCAGGCTTGGGGGGTGACAAGTGGATGTTGCGGCTTTATAAATCGTGTGTTGTCCCTCTGCAGGTTTACATCTCGGAGATCTCCCACCCCGGGGTCAGGGGCATGCTGGGTGCCTGCCCTCAGATCATGGCAGTGCTGGGCTCCCTAGTCCTGTATGCCCTGGGCAAGTATCTCAGTGTTCAGGGGGCAGGAAACCCTCACTGGGGCTGCAGGGAAGGGGAGTTTAAAATAAACAATTTTCTCAGTTAATTGATGGATTCTTCCCCTCACACCCACCACCACAGGGGTGCTGAGGGGGTCTGGACAGGGTCACCCACGTGCACCTTTCACTGGTGTGTGTGCTCAGAGGGGTAAATCCATAACCCACATGGACCCGTGGCCATCACTGTACCTGCAGACCCTGGTCCTGCTGAGGTTTTGCCAGGGCTGAAGGGCAGCACAGAATGACCTGTGTGTGCATCAGCTGCCACCACATGCCCTGGTTGGTGCAGGATCTTGCTGGATCCCCAAAGATTTGGGAGAGCTTGCTGGAGCTTCCCCATATCATACAGCTGGAAATGCTGCTTTTCTAGGAGAAAATATTATTATTATTAGTTTTCCTGCTGGATTTATTAAATAATTGGAGTGCCCAGGTGGAGGCAAGGCTGGGACACCCATCCCTGTGTGCTTTCCCCCCTAACTGTTCTGCTCTGGCAGGGCTGGTCCTGGACTGGCGCTGGCTGGCCGTCGCCGGGGAGGTGCCGGTGCTTGTCATGATCATCCTGCTCTGCTTCATGCCCAACTCTCCCCGGTTCCTGCTGTCCCAGGGGAAGGAGGAGGAGGCCCTGGGATCCCTGTGCTGGCTGCGGGGCAAAGACACAGACTATGCCCGGGAATATGAGCAGATCAAGGACAGCGTGAGGAAGCAGGTGAGGAGGCTCAACGCCAGCACAGGGAAATGTAACATGAAAACTGCAAAATCCATCCTTTGGGCAACTCCTAAGCCATCAGAGGTGCTATCACTTTGGGTTTCTGGCTTTGTCCCCTCCAGAGCCGTCGTGTTTCCTGTGCTGAGATCAAGGACCCCTTCCTTTACAAGCCCNGAATATGAGCAGATCAAGGACAGCGTGAGGAAGCAGGTGAGGAGGCTCAACGCCAGCACAGGGAAATGTAACATGAAAACTGCAAAATCCATCCTCTGGGTGCCCCAGCAGTGCTCAGAGGTGCTATCACTTTGGGTTTCTGGCTTTGTCCCCTCCAGAGCCGTCGTGTTTCCTGTGCTGAGATCAAGGACCCCTTCCTTTACAAGCCCATCCTGATTGCGGGGGTAATGAGGTTCCTGCAGCAGCTCTCGGGTGTCACCTGCATCCTCGTGTACCTGCAGTCAATATTCAAGAAAACATCCGTGATCCTGGTGAGCCCTGGGGTTCAGCCCCTGCTCGGGCTGCCTCGGCTGCAGTGATGGTTGCCCAATGCTCTAAGTCCCCTACAGACATAAGATCCCAACTTGAAAGCCTTTTTTAAAGCACCTGGTTGGCAGCAATTGCCAAGCACCTGCCCTGCAAGAGGCTGCATGAGTATGGGGAGCAGGACTGGCCCTACTCTCTCCCTGCTCTCCTCCTCTGAGCTTCAGGCATATCTTCTCAGTTTCTTACAAGGAGAACAGCTTTGACCAAGTCATCAGCCAGGTCAAGGCAGCACCTGTAGGAATTTCCCTTTTCCCTGGCTGTCCCAGCTCAGCTTCTCCCTCATTTTTTTGCAGAAACCAGAGTATGATGCAGCTCTTGTTGGCTTGGTACGTCTGTTCTCGGTGGCGATCGCTGCCGTGTCGATGGATAAGGCTGGGAGGAAGATTCTTCTCTTTGTATCAGGTATGTCTCCCTCCCACTGTTGTGCAAAGGAAGCTCTTATTTATGGATTTCCAGGAGCTCTGCAAACATGCAGGAGGCAAAACTTCAGCCCTACAGGACTCAGCAAGGGAGGTGGGGAGGTCTCTTTCCCTTAGTGGTGGCTCAGCTCCTCAGCAGAGGCTTTTTCAGGAGCCCAGTCCTTGGCCCAGAGGGGATCACTCACCCATTGTTCCCACTTTACCATTGTGTCTCTCCACAGCTGGTGTCATGTTGGTCTCCAACCTGACCATGGGGATCTACATCCACTTCATGCCAGCTTCTCACAACAGCACCATTGCCAACCAGACCCTGGTGAGCTCTGCCAGCCTTCCTGCTGAGCCAACCAACTACATCACCCTCATCCCCCTCCTGGCAACCATGTTCTTCATAATGGGTAGGTGCAGAGAGCCCAGGACCCTCAGCACAGGGCTGGGGACCAGCTGGGGGGATGCTTCTCATCTGAGGCTTGGTGATACAGGGCAAGAAGATGGGGTTTGGAGTTGGAAGGCAGGCAGATGACCCTGAAGAGAAACAAAGATGGCAACTGAAGTTGCTTTGAGGACTGACAGCAGGAGTGGGGGAGATAATGATTGCTGGGGTCGCAGGGCAGGATTTCACAGGGCTCTTCTGCACTCCTCAGTGAGCTTCAAAGCCTCAACAGCCTCACCTTACCCTCCTCCCCTGCAGGTTATGCCTTGGGCTGGGGCCCCATCACCTGGCTGCTGATGTCGGAGATCCTCCCTCTGAAAGCCCGAGGGGTGGCCTCGGGCCTCTGTGTCATCGTGAGCTGGCTGACAGCCTTCACCCTGACCCAGTTCTTCCTGCCAGTCGTGGTGGGTACTGCCCAGGGGGGCATCCAGCAGCCCCTCCTCGGCCCCTCTCTGCACCAGCTCACACCTGCCTTCTGTCCCCCCTTCCAGAACGCCTTCGGCCTCGAGGTGCCCTTCCTGTTCTTCGCTGTCATCAGTGCTGGGAACATCTTATTCACGGGCTGCTGCGTCCCCGAAACCAAGGGCAGGTCCCTGGAGCAGATCGAGGCCTTCTTCAGGACTGGCCGGAGGTCGTTCATGAGGTAGGAGCTGCCACCACCAGCCGTGCCAGGCTGCCCATCCACAGGCTCAAGGGCAAAGCAAACGTGGTGCTGCTGGAGGTGGAGGCTGGAGCTCCCTGTGCCGGCGCTGGGACAGGAACGGGCGGCAACGATCGTCTGGCTTTGGGTGCAGAAGGTGCCAGCTGGAACTTTACCTTCTCTTCCCGTCATTCAACACTACCTGTTGCTCTCTGGGCAACGTGTCAATCCGTGGATGGGGCCGGGGAACCAGTGCCAGGTTGGAGATAAAGGTGTCCTGGAAAATAAAGGCGAGGCTGTGGACAGGAGAGCACGGACATCCTTTGCTCAGCAGCCACCAAAGCAACCTGAGAGCCTGAGGGTTTGGCTGAAGCAGAGTTAACAGCTGGAGCCGTTCTGGCGAAAGCTCGTCGTGTAGTTGCAAGAATAAAACAGTTTTGCCTCCAACTGCAAGACATTGCCTTGATTTGTGGAGAAGAGAGCTGCTGGTGGGTGGGACAGGAGAGGCAGAGCAGGACTGTGGCAAGGGGAGCACAGCAGCCTGCAGCTTCTACATGAGCCTTGTGTACTCAAGGACTGTGAAAGAGGCAGAGCCAGGTATTTTGTATAAAAAGCTGCCACGTTTTATTGCTCTAAAAACACACATTACACTAGAAGCCTAATGAACAGGACCAAATACAGTTCTCAAAGAAAATTCAGGACAAAAGAACGGGAACAGACAAACATTCAGCTGTAGTGCAAGTGATACACTGTAGGAAAGACACAGTGAGTACTGACAACACTTTGTAAGGGGGTGGGTCCTTCCCACCCCAGGGTTTTACTCATCCACAAAGAGGAAGGTGGATGTGCCTCCATCACAGTTGTGTGGAGCCTCCCCCTCCATCACTTTGAGATTTCAGCTGCATAGTTAGGAGCAAATTGCTCTTACCCCTTTCCTGTGTGTCCTGCAAGATTAAGGTCTTTTTTCAATTATCTTTTAGAGCCTAACCCTAGGTAAAACACAGCTGCAGGAGGAGGTTATGACGCTGAGGAACTAATGGCCTTGCTGAGTCTCACATCCAACCTAACTCCTCCCAGAAGGGCAGAACAACAAAGGCTGAGCTGGGAGATGATGTGCCCAGGCATTTGTCCAACTTCCTGAAATGCACTGGGCACCCCGAGGGCTGGTGGAGATGCCTGTGCCCTCCCATTCTCGGAACATTAAACCCGCTGCCACAAGGAAGCAGGGGGTAAAACAGCACACACGACCCAGCCCTTAAGATATGCCAGTTGGCATTTAGATCTCCTGCAGCAGGAGGTGAGAGAAATCACCTAAGAGAAGATGTGCTTTATCACATTAGCATTTAGCATTAATTTAAAGCAGCCAGGGACAGAGGAAGAGAGGTGGATTGAAATAAAAAACACGGAGAACATTCAGCATTAAACCTACCCTTTGCTGTTGAGACCCTTTTCCAGAAAGATGTTCAGCCCTGGCTGGAATCTGACTGTTTCTAAGCATGGCCTGACTACCAGAGCTCTCAAGAGCCTCTGGTTTCCACTGACCTTCTGAAGATCAGGATCTCTGGCAGCCCTGTGCTAGAACGTTCTTTTTCTCACATGCCCATGGACCAGGTCTTGATATCTTCAGTGAACCCCTTCCCTGAAGACAGTTGGTGCTTTTTCCCTGAGGAAAAAATGACAAACATGAATTGAGCTTCCCAGGAAGCTCAGCCTAAGGAGAAAATGCCCAAATATGAAATGAGGTTGGACTCTTCAGGTCCTGCGAGAACCTCACTGGAGAAGTATTTTCTGAGTGACCTCCTTTCTTCAGCATAGAAAGTCTGATGGTTTTTGCTACAACATTTTAGAGTCTGAGAAATCACAGTGGCTCTTTCCAGAGGTAGAATGGTCTTTTTATTCACTGCACACACAGAGAATCAATTGGTGTTACAAAACCAGCTTCTGCCCAGAGCAGCGAGGTCTGGGTCTGCAGCAGAAAGCGAGCTCTGCTCTGCTCTTCACGCCCAGTGGGCAGCCCCAGGGGACAGTGGAGCTGACAGGCATGAGTGCTGTCAGCTTCCTGGCTGAGCAGGACATGGAAGAGTTGCACTCTGTATAAATGCTCACGTGGTGACCAGTGTAACAGGCTCTGCCAGGGGCACGTGTGCTGCCAGTGCCCAGGTGTCAACAGCTCGCTGTAGCCAATGCATCACCCACTCCTCAGCTCTCACATAACAAACTTTCTATCCCATTGTCTCCCAGGAAGCCTTTTCCAGACCTGGCAAGCAGAACCTCTTCCACAGACAGCCCGTGGATCAGCCATCCAGCCTGGATGCCACCAGCAGGGACTGGGTTGAGCCTGTAAAACCTCCAGAGCAGGGTTTGAACTTCATTTGTCCTTACACAGCTCCAGGCACCCCGAGGGTGCCTCTAAAGACAACTAATAACCACCATGCACTGTGAATGGGCATATTAACTACTGTGATGCTACTACTCTAAAGGTCCTTTCTATCTCCACAAAACAGTCTCTTGCCCACACAGAGGTGAGACCATACACTAACTGTTGCTACAACTTTTAAAAGCCATGAGTGCTGTCACCAAGCCTGTCTGCAATGATGGCAGCATCTGGCTTGGTTTCAGTTGCATCAGACAGCCAAAATTCCCAAGAGTTCCCACTCCAGACAGGCACCTGTAGGAGTCAGCACCCTTGGAGCACAGATCTGAGACACCCCCACTCGTGGCAGGCACAGAGACACTTTAATCATTGTGGCTGAAGGCTCCAGCTTGGCTCTTACAGAAGAGTCCCTGAGGCCCATTTTCAGCTCAGAGCTGAGCTTTGCATCCCACTCACAGTGGCAGATTGGTGTAGATTGTTCACTTGCCTCAGCCCCAGGGTCAGGACCCTCTGCCACAAAACACACCATGACAGCACTGTTGGCATCCAAGGATGCCAAGGAGCATCCCTGTACCAGGGAGCCCTCCAGGTGACCTGCAGCAGCACCCACCTGCCCCAGCCCCAGGGACCACTGCTGGTCCCTGGCATCAGGACAGTCAGATGAAGGCACGAGGGTCCCACCAGTTCTGTGGCCCCTCAGACCAGCCTGCAAGTGTTACCCCAATGCCTCTGCTTTGCCTTTTACCTCCTGTCACTAAAGCTACTGTGGAACTACTCACAGAGCAAAGCAGTCACTACCAAAGACATGCTGGTAGCTACGTGCACCAGTCTGCAACATTGCTCTACTAAACACTACAGAACTCCCCAAACCCCCTGAAATCAGAGCACATGTCCTGCTCACAAGGCAGGACTCTGCCCTTGCCCCAAACCCCCTGAAATCAGAGCACATGTCCTGCTCACAAGGCAGGACTCTGCCCTTGAACTCCCCAGTGGAGGTGCTGCACAGGGACACCCTGTGGAGAGCAGAGAGGCTATTCCCACTGGAGCATCCCACTGGATGTGGTGCCTTCCTCCCACAGCACCCATCCCTGCAGGACAGACAGCACTCAGCCTCCAGCCTTTCTCAGGCCACAGCACAACCCCTCTGCTCCCCAGGGATTCAGCTGGGGCCACAAAGGGTTGTGGCAGCTCCAATACAGCAGTTACAGTCTAGTTTTCCTTCCTTCCCTCTCCCAGAAGAGGGGGAAAACACACTTTGTCAAGCCAGCGACCCAGAACAAGACAAAGGGGTCAAAGGACAACACACTTTTCAAAAGTCTAAGTAATGCTCTGAAGGCTGAAATTGGATTTTGCAGCATTCCCATTACAGCAGTCAGGGCTGTCCCTGGGTTCAGAGACCCCTGGTGAAAGAGGCAGCCTTTTGAAGGACAGGAAACAGAGCACTCCTTTCTCCTATATCCAGAGAAAATGAGTCCCATCAAAATACTTAAATAACTAGAAATAAATTATTCCCCTTTTTCCTAATCAAAAAGCAACCATGTAAAAATCAAATAAATTAAAACCCCCAGAAGAAACCGTGATGAGAAGAGGGGGGTCTGAAACTGTTCTGTGCTGCCTGGTACAAAGCAAACAGAAAATACAACATGAAAACCATTGATAGAGCCTGGAATAATGAAGCAAGACACCCCAGCTGTCCACAATGAAACGGTGCAGCCTCCTCTCTATTTGCACAGGAAGGATATTCAACCCTTCCATGCAAACCCAACTCAGGACTGATGCAAAAACAACACGAGCCCAAAGACAAAGGCTGTACCAGACAAGCAAAGAGCAGGTCCCTTCCATAGAGGGATGGGTCCCAGGCTCACAAGAGAAGGATGTTCACACCAGCAAAAAATCCCACTTGGCTCAAGCAACAACACCCTTTTTCCAGCTGAGGTACAGCAAACATTGTTTCCCTTCTGCCCCAGTAAAAGAGTGAAGCTTAAGAAAAGTGCCCTTATTAAGACAAAGAAATGAATTCTTGTAATTCAAGTAAATCACAGTAACTGCCTGCAGCTGTATCCAGAGGGAGCAGGGACTGTGCTTTGTAGGTCCCAGGATCTGCCCCTGCACCTCTGGCAGCTCCTCTGCAGAGATGGTTATTGTCTTTATGGGTTTTTTTCTGGAAGTCCCACAAGACCAGCACAGGCAAGGAGCTGGTAGGTCACCTCTGTCCCTCCCCACCCATCCAGAGAGCAGTTCCCAAAGGGGCACCCCCAAAAAAGGCTGCCTGTTCAGGCTGGGAAAGCAGCACTCAGAGAGCCAGCACCTCTGCAGCAAAAAGAAAAAAAATATTAAAAAATTAAGGGACTGTGAGATATTTGGTTGAGGGTTGAGGAGTAGAGAGGGACCAACATGCTGAAGTCTGGCTGCTGGTGTGAGAAGAGGGCACAGCCTGCCCCAGCCCCTGAGATTTCCAGGTGCTGCAGTGTCCAGGGAAATTGCAGTGTAGCAGAGAGGGGAGCAGGCACAGGGAAGGGCAGAGTGGATTTCCATATCTTCACCATCTCAGTGTCCAGGAGAGGTTACCCTGTATGTCTCAGAGAGCCTGTCCCTCCAGGGTCCCCGTGAGCTTCTCTTCATCCATTTGCTTCTGCTGCTGGTGGATCCGAGCATAGGAAATGGCATCCCCCCTGTGGAGAGAAGAGACAGTGTGGGGATGTGAACTCCAGGTGCCCACCATGGTGGGTACAGCCCCTGGCAGAGACATTTCCCAGCTGGGGCCCAGGTCCACTGGCTAACCCTGGCCATCTGTGCTGAGGGATGCCAACAGTGAGATGAGACTTGCTGGCCCTCTCCAACCCCCCACCAAAGCTGCTCATTGCCCCAGAGCTGGGCCCATCCACTCAACAGCTGCAGAAAGAGGGCTGGGACCCTCAGGGCAACCTAGTCTGAACTCCCAGAAGCTCAGAGCTTCAGCAAACCCCAGGGCCTTCCTCCCCAGGGCTCCGAGATGATGCCAGGGAGATTTTCTCTGGGAGCATTTACACCCAAAAACACGGTTAGTGCAAGAGGAAAGCAGT